ACAGTGACCTATGAATCAGGGAAGCATAAATAGGTATTTAACTCAAATAATTTACCAGCGCTGTCTCAAAGAGACCTTCACAAAGAACCAATTTTAAATTAAATCTTTATTGCTATCAGTTGCCATTTTACAGAGACAATTTTTTTCCTTTTTATCTATCAAAATGGGGAATAACATATTAGTTTTGACAAACATAACCTTTGCTTTTTCACCAAGATTTTAACCTAAAGAGCTGTTAGCTAACATCACAACACGTCTTAGAAATATTTTTTGGTGTAAACAACGTCTGAAAAAAGCTGACACCAGCAAGTTAACAGTATCTAAAAGAAATATCCCTAAGACTTACAAAAGAAAAAGAAAATATCAGACACAGGAACCTAAAGAGTCATCTGGACACTCAGCTGACCCCTCCATTGTTGCCTGCAGCTTGTTAAGAAATGGTATCCAAGGAAGGGTGGCTATTTATTTTATTTATTTATTCTGTAAGAAAGGCAACAGAAAAAAAAAATCAATGCAAGAGCCGCTCCCCAACTCTACATTTCTCTGGCCGTATATTAATAAATTGCTAAACAATGCTCTTCATATCAGTGTAATGTGTGCATAACACCTTTGTCTTTGATTAATTTTGCAAGGAAAAGGATTGCCTCATATATACTAGTTAGATTAAGTTTTCTTTTGGTTTTTGAAAGTTTTCTGAAAAGATTCATCTCATAAATGGGTGCATTAGGCTTCATAAGCAATTAAAATGCTCCTTGATTTTTTTTAAGAGAATCCCCTTATCCTCACAACACGAATGAACAAGACAACTGTCGAGCGCTTTTTTTTCTTTTTTTCAGTGGTGCAAAAGGAAGAGGGCTGAGACAAAAAGGCCGATGAGATGACCGTTATGATGCTAATCAACATCCTTCAGTGCCTGTCACATTTTGAAAGATGGATGATAGGACATGTTGTGTATTTGGTTATGATTAGGGAATTATGTGGTTTTCAGCCCAGAAAAGGGGAAAAAAGTGATCCAAACAGCCAAAAAACATGGCCAAAGGTATCAAACTACGGGGAATCATTCTGGGATCTGTGTACAAGTAAGCTAATTGAAGAGATTGCATGTGCAGACATTTTATTTTCATGGCACTTGTACCTTTCTTTCTAGATGTCTTGGCCCATAGTAGAATGAGTGGATAGCCCTTTTAGTGTCTGCACCTGCGGCCTCATAATCTGTCCACAGCTCCAGTCCAGCGGTTGGTGATGAGAGTAGTTTTCTTATGGGTCCAAAACAGTATTCCCCAAAGGTTTCTGTGATTAGCCTTTTGAAAATGTAACAAATTAATGAATGAGATGAAGGACTGTTACATAACAGTGAACAAAGAAGGATCTTTGAAAGAGGTCCATCCACACTTTCATTGATTTTTTTTGTCTTTATCTGTCTTGTTTTGTTAGTCAGGCCAATGGGAACAATGAAAAACACTTTTTTTTAAAGCCTAATCAAAATCATTCATATATCAAATATCAATTTCAATTTGCCGTGAAGTGGTTTGAACACATACTGTGAGCCAGTTTGATTTTTTCCTCATTTTTAAACTCATTCTATTAAATTGGACCAATTTCTATTGTAGCTACCACACCATGTTTTGTGGGCGGCTGGAGAAATAACCGCCTAAAGTGACAAATTCACAGCTTCGTTACCGGCTAACAAACAGAGAAATGCAGCGGAGAACGTGTTACGAAACCAAAACGCCTGCATAATTCCTGAGTATTGACATAGCCTTAAAAAAGAGACATGACTCAGGAAGAAAAGTACCAGCGGATGGGTGGTCCTAAAAAGAAATCCAATAACTTCTGACACAAACACAACAAAAAAAACCCGACAATATTAAGTTCCAACTCCTCATTATGTCATCTAAGCCATCTCTGGGATTGAACCAGGTTCTTGTGCAGTTCCAGTTAACTTTCCCACTACCAGAGGAAGTCATTTATGCCCCGCTTGCCTTTTGATCTGCCAGGCTTGTGATGAAAAGAATAGTAGAGCCCGAGTCTATAGGGAGCCGCTGCCTTTGAGACTGGAAAGCTTGACTCATTTTATTACTGTCATGAATTAAAGATCCTCAAACCTTAAAAAAAAAAAGAAAAAAAGAAGGAATCACACGACAACGATCCGGCTAATTTAAAGTCCCTCACTGTGCACGGCCTCCAGCCGGAAACTCCCTTGAGGATAAACCTGTATCCTTTTCACATGATCTAGTACATCTATATGTGATATCAGAAAAAAGTGAGGGACTCATGGGTATGTTATGTTATGAGCAGGGAAGAAAGTAATCGTTCGGAATGCACCACTCAGCTTCCCGGCATATGGAGACATCTTATCCGCCGAGACGTTTTTCTCTTCTCCTTTTTTCCCCCCTCTTTCTGGAGATATGTTTAACCCTATAATGCCAAATGAATCATATTTGATTCATACGGTTTCTGAAGTCTTTTGGATCTGAGACTTTTTGCATCATTCAATGGTCAAAGCTTTGCTCAGACCCCTGTTGTACACATTCAGATATACCTGATAACAGCCAGTAGAAGACTACACCAAAATACATTTTTGACTTATTGTACGCTAATTTGATCAAAATAATTTGTGTTTTTTTTTCCTCGTATGTTGTTGAGGGGCCAAAGAAAGACTTCAGACTAAAAAAAATCCAATATTCTTCCTATTTTTCTTGGATCAGGCTTTAAAGGGTTAAGGAAGCGTTTCAGTCTGGGACATCAACATCATGTGCCCGGACTTTATGACATCCATATACAGTATGAGACTCATTTTCTTATTCTGAGTCATTTCAAAGGATGCAAACATGTCTCCCGGAAGTGGGTTTTTCCGGTTTCTGCTGCCTAGTTTGGGATTCTCTGCAAAGGGAAAGACACCATGAATATAAAAATGTTGGGTTATTTTCTGAAGAGGAAACCTTTGAAATACAGGTATGGTGGGATTACTGTAGCCACACAGCCAAAGGTAAAACAATAAAAACTCATAGTGTACGTAAACATGGAGGGATAAGTCACATACATGTGTTTACCCACACGGCTGGATTCACATAAGGAGACAGAGAGGCAGAGACTGGATACCAACACCGTAATTACAGAAAAGGTTTGTGTTTACGGCTGTTTGAGAGCCCTACTTGACAGATATAGGACTATTCTAAACTTTAAAAAAACTCACACAATGTGTGCCACTTTTAGTCTAAACGTACAGCACTCTAGACAATCGACTTTAAGAAAAAAAAAAACAGATATATACGAAATTATTCCCACTGTGAATTCAATAATTTGACTCCTAGAGTTTGCAGACACACGCTGATTTCTTGCTGTCTCTCAGGTAGAAATCATTACCCAGAGATGAAAGTTCTCTGTGTCTCTGTATGTGATGGAGAAAAAAATAATAATAATACAAAAAAAAAAAAAGTTTTTATCTTGATCGGTAGGGGGCGCGTTACACCTACAGATCACCGGTCTGGTGATGAGACTAAAACTCTCCTGGGATTCAGCAAAAAAACCCCAGCATAGATGCAGAGGAGAAGGACACAATTGATTTGTTATACAATCTGGACGGTTCAATAGTCTAATCACTTTTTAAAAGCAAAGCCTCATCACCGACAATGCTGTCAAAAGAAGTATAAGGATATTTGGACAATGCCAGAGTATCAAAACACACTTTTAGAGGAAGAAGAGATCATGTGGGCTGATTTGAAGACAAATAATGAAGAAATGTTGACGTGTCTCTTTGGAGAAGCAGGAAAATAGGATGAAATCTGTTTTTTTTTGTGCGTACAGCCCCTCCAGAAATATCACTTTTTTAAATTTTTTTTAGAAGGAAGCTCGAGTCTCATTCTCCACGCCTTTGATTTTCGGGGGCTTCTTCTTCTCTTATGGATGTGCGTGCCTGTCCGTGTCAGATACAAATAGATTCGCCTCACGTCACCGTCCTATACCCACCCACCACCACCTCCAACCCAAAAGCCCGGTGCATGAAACATTCATCAGAGCGCAGCCCCACTGCTGCTGCCAGAAATGTCATTAGGTCTGAGAATCCCTCTCAAATCGCTCTCCAAAATTCCACCACGTGGGTTACGGCGAATTACTTGTCAATCCAAATTCGCTTGCTGTTTTTTTTTTAACCCATTATGAGCCCCTTTGTGAAACAAACTGACAGCATTTATTTACGCACCTTTTTTTCCTCGTTGTTTGGCCAAAGGAAATGCAAAAAAAAAATGGCACTTTCAGGATTATGAGGGGTATTTTTTTTATTCCGGGGCACAGAGCCATAAAAGATTCATCTTTGAATTTTCTCTCCCTTCTTTTCTGTCTCTTTTCCGCCAGACGCACCTCTCCTCCCTCCCTCCCTCCCTCCCTCTCTCTCCATCCCCCCTCCCTCTCCACCCCGGCGCTGAGAGCGCACACTGCCGCGCGCCAGTGCGACCGACATCCGCGCTCGCGCCTGCAACACTTTCCTCCGCGCGCCCTGCTTGGGAAATATATTCCACTTGGATATGTCTGTAAAGATGGATTCCGTACAGGTTTTTCGTTGATTTTTTTTTTTTTTGTCCCACTTTTCCGCGACAGCACTTGGAGCTCTTTTTTTTTGTCTCCAGAGCTCTGCGCGCGTTCCCAAAATTAATACCGTGTTGTTGTTGTTGTCTTTTTTTTTTTTTTGAGGAGGTGCTGAGTCCGCTGATCTCAGTTTGGATGTTTATCGCTGACTGTTTTATCGTTATTTTTTTTAAACTCTTCGTCCACATGACTGAGCCAGGGTGCAGCCGGAGACGTGGCTCCCCACTTGGGAAGACCTACGGCTAAAGTTCGGAGGGGGGTGCAAGGCTCCGTTTTTCCCACCTCGCGCTGGATTTGCAATCGCCCGTAAATCGCGTCAAGTAGCGGATATCCTACCTGTCTCCGCTCTTGGTGGGAGTCACTCGGCTTGGATTTATACCATCCCTGGATTTCACCCCCCCCCCCCTCTCTAAATCATGAGGACCGTCGTTATTGACGGTAAGTGCTCATTTAGACGGCGGTATCTCTGTGTAAAGTTTTTCCTCCTTAACGCAGGCAGGAATCTGTGGGATTTGCGCACTGGGAACGGTCCTATAGGTCCTATAGGTCCAGCTATAGAAACCAGCTGGCCTAATTGGAGTTTACTCCGCGGGCTTCTAATACACCGACTGACAACATGACCTGGAGCATTGCTGGTCTGTACACTGTTAACAACATTGTTCTGTATTTTGAAAAAGACGTCTGGGCATCGGTTAGGATCAGAATATTGCGGCTGTGAACGACCTTGACTCTTAATTGAGTCATGAGCCTGCCACCTTGATTGCTTTCTCTCTCCTTTTTTTTAACATTTGAAGGAGGGCGCGTGACAGACAGACACAGAAACAGGCTGTAATGTTTACGGTGGCGCACAAGGAAACCGCGTAAAATCGCAACTTATCCCGGGCATCCGCCTCATCCAGCTCGGACTCTGAGAGAGAGAGAGGCTCGGCTCTTCTTTTTTTTTGTTTTTTTTTGTTGATGAAGTCTGCAGATGGTCCGCTTGGCGGCTCAGCAGCACCGCATCCTGCTCTCCAGCTCCTCTGGCTCCTAACGCGCGTTTGAGCGGTTTGGTGCTCACTCGGGGTGACACAGAAGCGAGGGGAGGCATTGGCCTTGTGACTTGTGACAGAGATGCTCGGGGTCTAACCCCCCCCCCCCTCCCCCCTCCCCACCCCCCCCGCCCCCCAGAAACTGAATAAGGGCTTCATCTCTTAATAGATGCGTGTCAGATGCAGTGTCGCTGTGCGTACGCATGGTTCTTTGCGTGCATATGAAGGTGGTGGTGGGTAGGGGGGGGGGTGGGGGGGGACCAACTGGCACGAGTGTCTTCATGCACCTGCTTGTGCCCCAACCCTGTAAAAACAACCGTGTCAACGTTTGATGCAGAGCAGGGATGATTACGCAGGCCTGGTGAGGGCTGCACCGTTAAAAAAAAAAGGCATTCACGTAACACCATATAGTTTGTTCAGTCAAAGTCTTGCAGGAAAAGCCCCCTTTTTTTTCCTCTCTACCCCGCCCCACCCGTGCACGGACTGCTCAGTACACACACGCAAAACCCCCCATCCTTACGCAACTGCACTCCATCCTCCATCGCGATGTTCATTACTTGGCTAAAACTGCGGGATTATCGTAAGAAAAGCCACAGATTATCACGAAATAGCTGCATCTCACAAACTGGCAAAAATCAAAGAGGCACATCTGCTCGTGCATTCCCTTTGATATGTGCACGGAGTGATGCAAATTCAAGTGCACAGCCCATCCGCTGGCGCAGAAATGGCTGTGGGTCCCTTAAAACCCTACAGGCAAGTTTTCATCACCCAGCTGCTGGTGTGATTTAGCACCGTGCGTGCTGCTGACACACACCTATGTCTGATTTCTCTCTTTTTTTTTTTTTTGCCTGGAGTTATAATTGGTACCCATCTCTCAGGCGCCTGATTTAGCAGAGAAAATATGGCCTCTCCTGTCTTGTGTTTAAAGTGTCAGGTTGGGGAGGGACTTTAATTTACACTCTTTTTTTTCTTTCTTTCCTTTTTTTCTCCAACCAGTCAGCATATGATCAAATGCCTCTGTGGGAAAGCGGTTGCTCGGGGGGTGCCGTTGCTCCCCTGTCTACTGCCAAGCAAAGCCAATAAAGTGCAAATGAATGGGTAAAAGCATTACGGTGGAACAGAAAAGCCTTTTTCTTCCGGAGTTTTAAAGCCCTCCACAACCCACACAATGAAAGAATTTTTGCTCAATTAGTTGGTGATTGTTGTCATGTGGGCTTCTCTAACTCTCATTATTGGGCAGAGCCTTGCTTAAAAAAATCTCAGTTTTTCTGAAAGAGAACGATTCACAAGTTTCTCCGGCTGAGACGGGGAAGATGATTGTTTGGAACGTGTTTGGCTGTAAAGAGAAAGAAGGTCTGGAAAAAAACAAAAGAACAAATATCAAAACAAAAAAAGAACAGCTGAGAGGCCTCAGACTTCCCCCAATGAGGCCGGGCATCTCCAGCCTCCTGAAAGGGAATGTGAAATTGATCCATCTTAGTGTTTGTATGGATGTTTACACAGAAGAAGGAGGAGGGCTGCGGGGATAATGCGCGGGTGGGTGCGGTGCTCTGTTTACGGGGTGGTCTGAAGAAAAAGGAGAGTCTGTTAATCGAAACAAAGACAGACGTGCATTTAGTTTCAGTTGTGTTTCATCACGTTCGTTTTGGAAGCTCCAAAACAACGTCTAGAAAGGTGAGCTGTCCATGGTCCTGCATTTAGACCAAAGACCATATAGTCCAAAGGGGTGCTCCCACTTTTTCAGCAAGGGAGCTACTTTTGAAATGACCAAGTCAAAATGATCTACCCATTATATTTATTGAGAAATATATTGAGGATTCTTACAACTTGTGTTGATGTATAACCACATGTGGATGTATAACCACATATGTTGCACAACACAACATAATTATGTACATTTTACTTGGTTACGTATTACTTGGTACAGCTCCCCCACTCATTTTCATGACCTATCTTACGTTTAAGAAGACAAAAACGAGCGAAAAATTAGGATGTAACTAACGACTAGCTTGTTCGCTTTGCTAATTGACCTAATTGTACGGAAAAAAATCAGACGTCATCTGACTGGTTGTCCTGTGTATCAGTCAAGTGACGGGATGGCTGATAGGCTGACGTCTAGTTTTTATTAGAAACAACTCAACTTTATTTCATGACAATGTCACCTCACCTTGTCATAAACTCTACCAATAGTACCTTGGAGATCAACTGGTAGATCGCGATCGACGTATTGAGCACCCCTGATATAGACCATAGACCAAGGCCATCAATTCTATAATTTTATCTCTGGAAATGTCTGTTTTGAACATTCTAGAGGGTTGTCAACCATAATTTATGCATAGAAGACAGATGATCACATTCATGATTTATAGATCTTTATATCCTGGACGTCAACGTGTCACCCGTTTCATTTGTTGACTTTTTTCAATGTCTACCTCTTACACAGGTTACAATGAGGCCCTTCTACACACAGATGGACAGAGCCTTTTGTCTCACAATTCAGTGTCTTACTATAATGTTTCTACTGCTTTTTAACACCGTGCTTAGAAGGCTAATGTGAGAGTGTTCAGTCTGCAGATGTCACAGCTAGATCCGACTATACACTAGACCTTTAACAGTTGGACGGTTATTATGAAGTTGTGAGCTTTGAGAGCTAATTAGCTTGATTATTGTGTACGTTGGTTCTATTGCCAGAGTGTCAGATACTTTGGTCACAGCTGGTGGTTTGTGTCAGATGTGCACAAGGAGCAATTTGGCATCTGACATTACAGCAAGCGCTGAAGAGCAGCTTTATGAGACATTTATTGGAAAAAAAACAAAAAAACAACAAAAAACAAGGTCTTCATCAACTAATTTGTGCTCACAGGAGATAAATCAAAGGATAGTCACATACAAACACCCACTTAATCAGAATCAGGGGGATGTCTCCTTATATTCACTATTTTTTCTCACTTTTACACATTGTTGATTAAGATTAGAGATATTTTTTGTTTTGTTTTTTTTGTTGTTAGGTTTAGGCACCTAAAATTGCTTTAATTTAAAAGAAAAACCACTTCCAATGAAAAGAATTTTGCCAAAATGAACTCTACATCCATATCCAGCACAGAAGAGAACAACTGTAGTGAAAAGTTTCATTCAACCTGAGATCAGGTCCAACAAAAGACAGTAGATGTTCCTTATAAGTTTAATTTCTTTAAGCAGGGGATTCTGAACCAGAAGGATCCCCTCCCAGCCGTCAGTGAAGTGCAGACGCTTGTTCTCAGTTGCACTTAGCCTCTCTGACCAACTCAATAACCTTTGTTCCGTGACAGGGATTCATTGTCTTCCTCTCACAGGGCCGGTGAATCCACTCACTGGTCCGGCTACGTTTCCTCACAGCAAATTGGGAAATGGCAGTTTGATAAAGAGTTTTAATCCCTCTAATGTCCAAAAATGTTCCCCGCGAGTAACGCGCTGTTGAGCGACATAATAACATCTTCTGGGAGTTGTTGAACTGAAATAAGAAGATTTAGCTCTCACACGCCATTATTAATCCCATGCAAGTTTTTATGAAATGGACAGCGGCTCCTATAGTCATATTTCACGAACCACGTTGCTTTTTTAAGATGGTGGCTTGAATAGGGATTTTTTTTCTTTAATATTTCAATTTGTGGCTGAACCTAAGGTTTTCAGCGAGGATTGAAAGGGAGAGGAGTCAAATTTGTATGGATCCCTCACCGGTTGAAGGATAGAGATGTCCGAACCGCAGAGCTAGGTGCTATTAATGCCTTACTTACAGTGAGGGGCTGAAGCAGGTTATCTGAAAGTGGATCTGCTGTGCTCACTGCATCCTGATGAGCCCCCCTGCCCAAGGCCCTTCTTTTAATTGGCCTCACACTCGAAGTAACGCTGAATGTGTTTATTACAGCGTATGCCACACATGCAAATCTCCACATCTGCATCGATACAGAACAGCATCCACTAAGTGGATAAACCAGTAAAATTCCATTTGTTTATACAGAGGATGCTAAAGGGTGAAAATATAAAGCGGCAGGCAGTCAAAATGAAATACACCCCCCACTCCCCACCACCAGATTACTAGTCCTTAATCCTCTCTGTGGGTTATTATTGCAGTGTCAGAAAAATTGGAGAGACAACCGGTAGGAATAAACATATTGCTGCTTCATCCTGCTTCCGTTTCCCCCACCAACCCTCCCCTTTCTCTAGTTCAATTCCAAAAATTAGAGAATAAAAATAAGTGTTGCTGCTCCTCTCTGGGAGGGTGTCGCAGAAAAACGTAGCCACAGATGAATTGGAGTTATGCAACGGGGCGAGGCGGGTGGAGTCTTTACGGGGGGATTTATTTGTGTCTTTTTTACCCAAATCCACTCTGACACTGTATCATAATCCTTTAAAGGTGCCTACGCATACAGT